GATAATTTTTTTTTTTTTTAAATCAAATAAATGTTTTATTTATTATCTTCTTCAGAACCTTCTACGGGGGAGTTCTGTCTTTGTCTAGGACAACCTTACTCCACAGGGCCATAAACTCCTTCTAGTGGACAAGTCCCTGGAGCATTGTTTGTCCATGGTGCCTAGAAAGAAAAACTTTTTTTTTTGTTTTGTGTACAAGCACAATGTCCAGAAGGTTTTAAGATTCTAAGACTGAACAGACAACATTTTTGACAGGAACAAGCAGCTACTACTAAGGATCATATAACGCCTGGTAACTCACCTGACTTTGGGTGCAGCATCCACTGACATCTGGCTGACAGCAACGACATAATGCTCTGCGAAGGTCTTTCCCACTGTCAGCATCCGATTGTCTCCAACAATGTATGCTAGGTGTTGGAGGTGCTGTGCTTTGCGTTCCCTCACTGTAGTACAACAGTGGCTGGAGAAAGACAAAGATGGTGAAACATCAGATAAATCCTAATAATAATTGTATTTAATGAGCATTTAAAGTTGCTGCTACTGTAATTCCCACTAATTTCTTCTCATACCTCAACCCTGTGTTGAGTAGAGTGGTCAAAACTGATTGGGGATTTTTAAGGCTCAGTTGAGGATCATCAGTCACGGCTTGAGAGAATGAAACATTATTGGTTTGTCCAATACAGAGTCATGGGGGGCTGGTTTTCTTTTAGACTGTTTCCAAATCCGGTGACAGGACCAAGTCACTCTCATGTACTCACAGTTCAAAGTGTTTATTTGTCATATGCACAGCTAGGAAACGTGTTTCCCTGTACAATGAAATTCTTACTTTGCCGTCCACATGAATGCCACATAGTACAAGTGAAATATAAATGTGCAGGTCTACACAGGGTGAATAGAGGTTGAAAACCTGTCACTATCAAAATCTAGAAAGATCTTTGTAGCTAATGAGTAACATTCCATTCACCCAGTTATTCAAGTAAGTTATCAAAGTATTTTTTTAATCTAGCGTGTGAGTTTTTGTATGATGTTTACTTCAAGCTCACCATTCCCTTTCTGTACTCTGCATGTTTGTAGCTTCTGTTTGATGATGATGAGATCCAATAAACAGCTCTGAGCTACTGCACCGTGTGTAAATAAGTAACAGAAAGCGGTGTGATGTGTTTGATATTGTGAGGAAGGAGTAGCGGAGGGCCTGTGACAGCAGATCAAGAGTACAAGCATTATTAAGTACATACGTGTGTGTACAAAGTCAGGCGAAGGCATATTTATTTTTTCTTTTGACTTCAAAATTGCTTTCACTCATACCTTAGGAGTGGTTTGCTGTGTGTGTGTGTGTGTTGATTTAAGTGTCTTCTTTACGGTTTCCTGAGGCTCCTCAGAAGTGCTTAAAGAAATACTGTACTTTTCATAGAATATATTTTCATGTCTCAAAGGTGTAATTGAGTTGCTGAGCACACAGCAGTGCTGGAGGTCTGTCACTATCACCTGTCTTTTCATTTCTGTGCATATTTTGAATGCTTTCTCCTCTGTCCTACATGGCAGTGTACAGCAGGCTCCCATGTGGCCATGCGTGTCGGCGGAGACTTCTTCTTCCACCCTTTGCCTTCTGATCCTTCTGTGGATTTGCTGCTGGTGGCCGGCGGCGTTGGGATCAATCCCCTGTACTCTATTCTGCTTCACGCCACAGATCTGCTCCATCTTAACCGTGTATCAGGTGGTCGGGACTACAACATAGGGTCTGCTCACCTATGCTACAGTGCCAAGAACACCCAGGAACTGCTGTTTAAGGTATGGTGTTCATGCAGTACTGCACTGGTCAAAGATTGATGTCTGGATTTTTAGGAAACTGATTTGTGACTTTATTGTAGGAGAGTGTGTTTACATATATGTCTGCAATATACAGGAGGGTGTGTTTCAGCATATAAGGAGACATTTTATAAGAAATGCATTACTACTTACCTTCTGTGTTCCCAGCACTCCATCATTGACGTGTGCCGGGAGTTTCCTGACAAGGTCTCTTGTAACTTCCACGTCACACAACAGAACACAGACGTCGAGCCACACATCAAGCCATTTGTCAACTGTAAGTCCAAACAAACGCACCGGGCATGATTGAGTGACTGTCATATTGTTCCACGGTCTGTCTTTGTTGATTTATCAGTGTAGAACAGCCACCATCAAAGCTCCACATGCGAGACTTGGATGGAATAGGTAACTGATCAACTTCTCTTGTGTCTCCCCTAGGTGGGAGAATCACAGAGGAGGAGCTGCGGGCTCACGTGGACCCACAGAGGACTTTGTGTTACTTGTGCGGGCCCCCACCCATGATCGAAGCAATTTCAAAAACCCTCAGGGACCTCAACCTCACAAAAGAGAGGATCATTTTTGAGAAGTGGTGGTAGAATCTCCTGCAGGCCCCAGAGACCTACAGGGTTCTCCTCCTGGCTCTGTACTGCATGGAATGTATGAGAATGGAATCAGCTGAAATATTTCACTGATATGGACACTGAGTCCGCAGATACTTGAAGAAATGTATCCTGTGTCTGATCAATAATAGGCAGACGGTACCACCCAGTCTTCAGCTGGTAGCTGACTCACAAAGACAGTGGAGACGTTTTACTTCTTATTATCTAAACAAGATGACAGCAAATGCTCAACATGCTGAGCTCTTTGCTTCACTGAATGTCTCAACAGTTCTGTAAATTCAGAGCCCTGCAGGTTTACTGCATGATTAATTGTACACATCTCCCAATTCAGCCGCGTTTCCAGTCTGAAATTTTTCTTAAATTAATAGCTGGTATTTGGTTTTACCCAAAAATTTGCAAAACTGTATTAAACTGAGTTAACCCTGTAAAGCCCAACATATAAAAAAATAGCCAGAACATTCTAATTTTTTGGAACTGAGATGTTTATTAAACCTTTTAACAAAATCCAAAATAAAATTCATGATTCGAAATTCAAGATTTGTATTTGCCATATATGCATAGACAGACAGTCCAGGCATATAAGAATAAAGGTGCCATATTATTTAGATTATTTCTATTTCTTTTGCATCACATTTGATACATGGGGCATTTTTGGTGATTGTTTTTGCTCAGAAACCTCATGTATCAAATATGATACAAATGGTTTTATAGGGTTAAGTTTTTACTTTTCCAAGGTAAATAGCTTTTTATTTTAGTAAAATACATAAAAAGGAAATAAACAAGTTTCCCAGAATGCAACAGATGAAACAAATGTTACATTGACACCAATCAATCAAAGGAACAGGAAAACAGTTTCCAGTTTAGACTTTAAAGTGGCAGAGTTGGGGCACATTTAAGGTCATCAGGAAGTTGGTTCCCTCTGTGTGCAGCATAGCAGCTAAAAGCAGCTTCACCCTGTTTGGGTCTGACCTGAAGTTCTGCCACCTGACTGCCTCCTAAGGGTCTTAGAGGGCTGTTGGGTTTGTGTTCTTCAAGGAGATCAGACTTGTATTTTGGCCCCATACCACCGAGTGATTTTTAAACTAGCATTTGCACCTTAAAATTGATTCTGTAGGTAACTGGCAGCAAGTGTAAGGATTTAAGAACGGGAGTAAAGTCCTCAGTTCTGGGTCTTGTCTTTAGAAGTACTTATATTGGTACGAAGGTACTGGGTGGTTTGTAATTTTTAAAAGAATACCCAGAAGAGTGAATAAAGGTAATGTGAGACAGAATAGCCCTTTCAGTAGCAAGATATTGGGTTTAATCACTTTTTGACAAAGAGAATACTGCATTGTACTGATTATACTGGATCCTGACAGGTACTTTAACTGGTAGAAAGGATTAAATTGTTTATAGTCTGCAACACAAAAATACAGAGACAGTCAAATGAATGATTGTAAAGTGGATAGTTTTCTTTATTTTATATGCAGCCCACATCAGTAATGTTAGTCTAATTTCCAAATGTAATAGATTATTTGGATAATGTATATGAAAAACACATAGTCATGGTAAAAAAAAAAAAAAAAAAAAAAAAAAAAAAAAAAAAAAAAAGTACACCCTCTTTCAATTCTGTGTTTTTATTTATCAGGGGCTAAGAACCAATTGTATGCTCCTCACCAATTACTATAAGCAAACAAACAAAAACTCGGGTGACAAAAAAAAAAAAACAGATTTCAATATGTAGTCACTGTTCTCCAAAAGTAAACCAACATTCCGAAACCAGGCGGGAAAATAAAACTACTCTATAATTCAGTAAACTTTAGAAACACCCTTAGCAACTATAACTTGAAGTAAACATTTTCTGAAGGAGGGTGTACTTTCTTTTTACCACAACTGTACAGTAGGTAAACATGGTTCAATATTTTGCTCCTGAATCTGGCTGGGTAATGTCATACTTAAATCTAAGCAGACTTTTTATTCGTATTTGAGTACAACAAAATGGCATCTGTCACAGGCAAGTGTTGCATAGCCTATAACCACCAAACACTAAATACAGCCTATGATGGATAGTCTGTATATCCAATACTTCAGACTGAATAGTGCCTGATTGCATTCTAAACTGCTATGGCATGTTTTGGAAAATTACAATTGTTCCCTTACAGTTTCCTCAAATGTCCAAGTTTTACAAAGATGTACCTTTGTACTACCACATATTGTCTATTTGATCACAACAAAAAGCAGCTGTATGTATAGATAAACTGGCTGATGCATGTTTACAGGCTGCGAGTGCCCTCGTGGACCACAATCTGGCAGATAGTCTGGTGGCTGAACATGCATGCTCCTACTACTACAATATACTCTACTGCAGCTCGGTGAGGAACTACTTTCCTGGGAAACAAAAGAGCAAAAATTTGTCTTAACTGTAACTTTGAAAGACACCGACTTGAATTATTGAAGCTGTACTTCAGGTTCAGACAAACTTTGGAAGGGTGTTTCACACAGAACGAGGGCTGTGTATTTTGTCCCTCATTTTTTGCTGTGTAGTCGCATTCTGTGTGGAAACATTCAGGGCTGGTGTTGTATCGTATGCGTTCCTTCCTCAAGATGTGTTCCCCCTGTTAAAACTGTGTGTCCTGTAGTGTCCCCCAGCGGTCTAACTGTATGTAATCCAGAGTCACACTGAATCTCTTCAGCACCAGGGACAGTTACACAATGCTCATCTGATTGAAAGGAGCTGTCCAGGTGCTGAAATCAGGACCCTGATGACCAACTTCAGTGGTGGTCAGTAGGAATTACGACAGCTACAAACCATCAGGCCTGTTAAGCCTCAGAGTGGCTCTTACAGTATGTGGCCTTGGAATCCCAGGTCTTTATCATTTTGTATCAACAGGAAAATGTACAGTTTGTACATCTGATGCGACTCTGGGTTACATGCACCAACAAAAATAACAATCAAGTACCCACTTTTAAGCAACACCGGTTAAAATATATTTGAATGTTTATACAAATACAACAGGGAGGAATACTTGATTTTTAATGCCTTTAAATATGCTAGTAATAATGTATTTAAGAAAAGACTATGGAAACTTAATTCAAAGTGATTTTTACTTTAATCAGGCTAAGTCAGTTTCAATACCAAAAAACATGTAAAAATAAAAACAGTACAACAAAGTACATCATTTTACAAATACTCATAATGGAGGTCTGACATATCAGATGAATCAAATAAATTCAAACAAGTCATGGTCATAACAAAAATAGAAGTCAATACAGTACATAGAATGCATTAGGAGCAATATACTTGAGGTTTTTGTTATACGATAGACTTTACAAAATTCTACTATAAAAACTCCCAATACCAATGGATTACCAGGTAATATAAATTTTAAGAAAATACCAACTATATAAACACTAAAAAAAAAAAAAAAAAAAAACTAACAATACAACAAAAACACCAGATGTGAGTGTGTATATGTTCATACAGGTGCAATCTGCATGCAAATATTATTATCAATTAATCTCCTGTGTTTTATCTTTAATCTACAGTATAAAATGGAAAAACAAGCCTATTGTCACATCTTCAGTTTGCTTGTTGACATGACACAGAAGAGCAACAACTGTCTCCATCTGAAAAGCTGGAACCATCATTTTTCTGTCATCAACATGTCTCCTGGACCCCATCCCGACAAGGCTGCTCAAAGACGTCTTTCCCCTAATCAACACATCCATACTAGATCGGATTAACCTCTCTCTATTAACAGGTTATGTTCCACAGGCTTTTAAACTTGCAGTAATTAAACCTCTACTCAAAAAGCCTACTCTTGACCCAGGTGTCCTAGCTAATTATAGACCAATATCCAATCTCC